AGTTTGAAATTGCTGCTGAATATATTTCACAAATACCATAACTATGCGATAATTTAGATATATTTGTTATGTAAATCATAATCATTTTTATCGACTGAACAATTTTTTTTAAAATGGTTAGCATTTTTTGCAATTACTTAACAATTTAATCAAAATGCACGATAAATTTAAAATTAAAATTTTTCACATAAAATATGATATAAATAGAGTACAGCGCGAATTCTTATATGTATTTTATACTGTGTGTATTTACACGCAGTGCATTTTTTATTTTAAAACCAAAGGCCTTAACTTTTCCGTGTAATGTTTCCTCATATAAGGACGAGATAATTTTTTTTCAAATTATAACTAATATATTCATCTTAATCATTATGACTAGATATATATATATATATATATATATATATATATTTATATACATATCATGTCATAAGTATTTTGTACTTGTCTTCAATTCTTATGTATGAGCGTACGTTGATTCTGATATTTGACGTAGGTTATGGACTAAAGTAGCCATTTGTTAAATATATTACATTCAAAGTTTATGTGCTTTTATTATTCATCATGTCTTTCTATCGATCAATCACAAAATTGCGAGATAAGTGTATTGAAACAGTTTTCCAATACCCGAAAATAGCTAGACTATAAATAGTAGCAGAAAGTCGAAATGTGATATAGCATTTTACATTCATGCTCCATAAGTATAAAAATATTATGATCAAATATTTAAATATAATAAAATTTAGAGCATTCATCCGTTCATCTACTAATAAATTATTGTCTAACTGATTTTTTTATTTAATCAGTAATCTAATTTTTAAGTTAGAATAGGTAATAAGTAATCTAAATTATAAGTTCGTTAAAAGTATTATCTTTATTTACAATTCTAGTAAAACCGGATAATTTCATTTGGGTAAAACCCCATTTTAATAGAAAATTTGTCTTATGTTTCATATTTCTGTTATATGACTAGTGTTATTCTATCAGAAAATAGAGTTCTGGTAGAGTTTTACTCTATCCCTTTTGAACCCCTTTCGAACATCTAGATTAATATTAGGTTCGTCATATTTGGCCATTTTTCTATATGGAAAAGATAATAGAGCTGTTCAAATACATTATATAACATATAAGGAGAAAGTTTGTTAACAGAACTTTAGCACCAGAACTGATTTGCACGCTTGTAAATAAGCAAATTTAGTGCATAAAAATTATCAGGATATGAAATTGTTGAAATTGATAAAAATATTAGTTGGCGAAAAATAATGAGAGGTAAACGTGTTCCAATTCATAACTGGTTTCGGTCATTTGAACTATTATTTGAAATTGATTTTTTCGCTCAAACCAAATTTCTCGCCTAGCAAATTTTCCAATGACGTTTTAAAAGATTTGTACGTGCGAACTATGAACTGACTGCCATGTCAATGTCGTTCGTGGAATCTTAAATAAAAAATAAAATTTTGCGTGTCATGACTCATTTAGCGACTTAGGGATTGTGTAATGAACGGTCACGCACACCAATTATCTGCCATAGCAACATCTGATAAATGGTTTAAGTTTTAGCTTATATGTCAAATAACGTCTTAATTGTTTTAATTACTTTTTCTTTGAACTTGATAGTTCATTATATGACCTTTAGACTGTTCTCAGTGAAAATCAAAATTTGGCCCAACATTTACTTAACACAAGATACAATATTTTGGAAAAGAGCATAAAAAATTATTTTAGTTTGGAAAATCTAGATTTTTAGAACACACATTTTGAACATTGTTTTCTTCCGAATATAAATATTTATTTTGATAATAAATTTGGTTTTGCAAATAAAATTAATAACGATCTTTATGATAGTGGACTGATTTTTTTTAAATCTTCAATTTATCGAGTATATTGGTCAAACTGAATACTTCTTATCATACATTTATATCACATTTATTAAATAAATGCATCAATACTTTTTTGCCTTTCTGCCGATTAACAAGCTCGTTTCAAAACTAAGCTCATACAATTAGCTACTTTTATATAAATCTTTATCAAAACCAATTTGGTGCTATGGTATACAATTGTGGGGTAGTGCTCATAAGACTAATATAAAAATGATACAAAAATTTCAAAACAATTTTTTGAAAATTGCCTTAGGAGCTCCAAAATATGTTCCCAACTGGTTGATTCATGTCGACACGAATACACCTACCATAAATGAAGTAATAACAAAAACAGCACATAAGTATAGAAGATTTCGAGTCGGGACATCACAAATTCTTGAAAATGAAAAGAAATGACTAAATACTATGTAATTTCCTGTCCTAAGACTCTAATATTGTATCTACAAAAATGGAATTTATTTTTATTAGATTGTTATATAATATATCGATTAAAATATTATATAATTGTTAGTTCTTTAGTGCTTAGATCACAAAAGTTTAACTGTTTTCTCCAAATTTAATTAGACTTATGGATGAATTATTAAACTTCCGAAGTTGTGATATATTTTTGACGCAGGAAATATTTATCCTTAATAAGTATCAAATTATTTTTCTGTTCTTCGGAAAACCGACAGATGTTCAACACTTGTGCTATCACACTCATAATTTAAACAACAAGTAACTACAGTTTTATAGCCAAAAGCACTTTATGTACGCTTGAAACAAAGAGATTACAACTACATTTGATGATTAAAATTTATCAAAAAGAAGAAGTGTTGCTCTATTGTGATACACATCAAAATAAAAATTACAAGGTTGCAGTTCAAAACTAGGTTCTTGGAAATATTATTCATCATATTAATTAATAAATCTTGTGGAAATAAAGCCGAACAAATTACATAAACTGGTTTTATGATGGCGTGATCATATGCAGGTTTCTGATGAATGATATTTCAGCAAAATAAAGCATAAAAACTCCGTTATAATTTATACCGTATCGAAATTGCCAGTCATGATGGAGGTTTCAATATAAAGTTTGAATCGCAAAATATAATAGACACAGAATCATCTATTAAAACTAAATTGAAATTAGCATTATTTATCGAAATTTTAATTGATATTATTCGTATGTACTACTATCTAATTTCGGCTCATTATAAATTGTGACTTTTTCTTTGAACTTGTGTTTCTTATGGAATGTTTATAATATATGGTGGACCACTCTGAGTGTGGCACAATAAAGACCTTTAAAATTTTTTGAGAAAAAATAATTGATGCACCAATTCAAATAGTAAAGGATATTATAATAATGTATCGTATAAAAACATAATATCAAAATCATTGTAAATTAATAAATTATAATGCTACTACTACTTCTCAAAAACTATGTAGAAGAATCATTCAATGTGGAAGCTAGAATTTTAGAATATCTTGCCCATTTAAATTTTATTTAATTACCACATTCTGTATTTAGACCTTTCAGTACTTTTCTACGTTAAAATTTCTTTTTATTAATATTTTTCTAGACTTTACACTTTAAATAGAGCTCCACTTTAAATGGCCAACCTTTTACATTGTTTCCCATGTTCCTGTTATAGTATCATTATAAACTGTTTAGTTTAAGAATTAATTTTATAGTTCGTTTATGCCAAAAATTTAAAAAATCATATTCTTATATAATAAATGGAGATGTTATCCAAAAATTAGTCATGCCTTTTACATGATTTGCTCGACAAACTAAACTGTAACGTTCAGAGCTTTCCTTTTGGGTCTTTAAGTTTTTTTCGTAAATTTTTAAAAACCAACATTTCGTTTTGTACAAAATCAGATAGAAATAATTAAGAAGATGTAACAATCATCAATAAAAATCATAGGGATCATTCAGGTAACACAGAATTTTATTGACATCTTGTAAGATCTTATCCTAAAGCCTGACCATAATAAAATAACAGGAAAAAGCCAATTTTTAATTGTACTTTAGAAGTTATTCACTGTAAAATAAAATAATAGGTTCTAAGTTAACGTTTTGTATTATTTCTGATAAATTGACTGGTGTTATTTACAATTAGAAAATACAGTCAATTATTCGACAATTGTAGAGAACTGAGCATTAAAAAATGACAATCATCTTCTTTGCATTAGAAAAATAATGTATAGATTGAAACAGATTCGCGTACAACAGAAGTTTCAGCAAGATACAAAAATTGACAGTTATTTTTTTTTTTTTTAATTTCTAATTCCAGGAAAATTTGAGAACTCCATATGGGTAAGAGAAACCATTTTAACAGAAAATATGTCTTATGTTTCATATTTCAAAAATAGAGATTCAACAGAAAATGGAGTTATAGTAAGGTTTTACTCTATCAGACAGTAGAGTACTTTAATTGAATTATATAGAGTACACTTGATAATTGTAGAAAACTTAGCATTTGAAATGAAAATCGTATTATCACTATTAACATCTTTTTTGAGGTTGCAGATGAAGGAGGAAATTATAACCAAATCTCCCGCAACATTAAATAGACGCGAAAAAATATTGTTATATTATGAAGTAGTTGATTTGTAGAAGGCGCAATTAAGCAATTCCAGAGACACGTTTATAAGGGTAGTCAAATTATCATATTATTGATAGTTACATTGGATAAATGCTATAGCATCCACGTCTAGTATCACACTTATATTTTACGCAATGTGCTTGCCCAAACTAAGGAGTAACTATGGGAAAAGATAAGATTATACGAAAATACCTAAAGAATCGGTAAGTCATTACCTTGTCAGATATGATAATTACGTAAGGGTAAGGTTATATAAAATTAAATTCAAAATAATTGACTGATATGAATGCCATATCTACATCATTTAGCATACACTTTTATAAGCTTTTTATGCAATTTTAATGAACCGTATAATTTAATCTGACATGCACTAACCATGCAAATAAATGCTACAGCATTCACATTTACGAAAGTGTTAACTTCTTTCCATTGATGTATTCTCAAAACCTATAAAACCTTAATATATGTGAAGAGATCAATAAGGATTGATCTATTTATAAATAGTGAAAAAAAAATCTCTTCTTACCCCAAAACTTGTCCATTATTGAGTGATTCCAGTAGCGGCACCGTAGGAGGCCTCGAGTTGTTTTCAGTTTGATAAATGACGGCGCAGCCTGCGCCAACTTCTTCACATTTCACTGAAGCTGGTAATAGGACTTCCACGCATTTTGGATCCGACATTTTGATTTATTATAAACAACTATTATAATTTATTACGCGAATGGCATTAAAAGATTACATTAAACTTTTTTTAAAAGAAAATTCACTGCCGCGATAAAGAAACTTTTACATTTAGAGCTTTTTACACGTAGCATGTATAGTTGATGCTTTTATGTACTTATATTATATTAGCAAGTTTATTGTATAAATGGCCTTATTTAATTTCGAGTTGTTTTAATTTATTGTTATCTTATCACCGTATGTATTTGAGAGATCACAAAAATTGTTTTTAGGTAATTGAATTACTTAAATTTATTGGAGCTTAAGGTTAAAAAATCACTTGTTAAATGCGATGTAAATTATTTTTACATGGATGGTTCTGGGTAGATTTTTTGGTAAATGTATGAATTGTTGCACTTGTTGTATCGCCTTAATCTGGAAGTAAAGAAAATATATCTAATTATATTGATTCATCTATTTGTGAAAATAGGTTTTAGTTAATTGATAGATAGTTTAATTAATTTATACGCCATTATAGCATTTTTGTTAGTAAATATTAATAAAAAGATGGTACGTATGTGCAAAAAATTAATTATAAAAAAGATTAAAATTAAATGGTTTCTCTGCTTGAACATAAATAGTTATACCTCAAAATAGAATAAAATTGGATTTTGCATTAGTCCTACTCTTAATAATTAAAATAATGTCATTCCAAGAAGATACCCAAATAATTAGTAATAGACAAATTATGCTTATAATTTCTCATATTTACTATATTCAATATTATGAAAGATGTTTCGTTATATTTATAGTTGAACTATTTTTAGTACTATTTTGTGATTAGAAAGAAAAAAAAATTAAAAGGCTAAAAATGCTTGAAAACGAACGATCTTCTGAAAAATGGTTACTAAAGGTGGCGTAAGGGTCTATTAGACAAGGAAGATTAGACACAAGGTGTATGAGAATGGTTAAACTTACATAAACAAATAATTAAATTGTGTAAAATTTGAGTAAATATCTGAATATTTTTTTCGTCTTTGTTGAAATATTCAAATTAATGAAAAATACATACAAATAAAACGCTTTTCTAATTCTAAACCACATTACTCATTGTTCTTATTCATAGATTCTAGAAGTATGCAAAGATAATGGCAAGGTAGTTGCATAGTACAAGGTCGAAAAAGAGTCATATTCTGCATAAATGAACATTCTAAATCCTTAACGATTATTCTCTATATAAACAATGTATAATGTTGCCTAACATACTTCTAAATTAAATTATTTCACAAAAATAGTAAAAATTGATTTTTTTTTAAATCGTTCCATAAGTAAAATATTCATTTTAAAAGATATGTGGATTATCAATAATTTTAAACCAATTCAAATTAATAAAATAACGAATTCGAATTTAATCATAATTTTAACAATATAATAAGATAGTTAAAAATATTCTCACTTAAAAATAATTATAGCATTCCGTAGGTTACAAGTTATATATCTCATGTATAATGAAAGTTATAATTTGTAATATATTATGATAGGTAAATTATAATTTTTAATAGATTTTCGTAGGCTTATAATTTGCAATATATTATGTGAAGTTATAATTTGTATATATTATGTGAATATGTGTTATATTAAATAATTGTGTTTAAAGAAAATTAAATATATCATTCTCCCATTTGACAAAGACAATAAAAACTTATGAATTTGATAGTCAAATATCTATTAATAAAATAATAATGCTCAAAAAGTTAATATTTTAATAAATTTTATACAAAAAAATAAAATATGTATATGAAAATCATTTCAGCAATAAAAATTCATGCATTTGAAACTGAAATATTGTTTATTATTTTTATTTTTCGCCATACATTAATTTTAACTCTATAAATCCCTTTTTCTTATTTAATATATCACAGGTATAATAAATAATAGGTAAAAAAATTAATTTATAGATAGGAATATATAGAATATATAGATAGGAATTTGTAGATAAAAAAATTAAAATGTCAAAAATATATTTTTGTAAGTTCTGTGATTTAAACATATTATTGTATATACTATATACTATATAGTATACATATTGATGGAAATGTTGGTAATGAATTAATTTTTATTGTAGTGTTTGATTTTTTTTGTCTTGTTTGGTAGTCTTCGCAAAGAAGTAAATAAATTGAGCTTCAATTTTTCGGTTGTATTAACACCCAAAGCACTTAAATTATTTCATATTTAGAGCAGCATAAATGTTTATAATATGAAATGAAAGTTATAATGATACTAGTGTTATAACATATATTACATAAAAAAATCAATTACCTTCTAATCGAGCAACAAATGTTATGGTTAATGCACAGGTAAACACTTTAGAATTTATACTGTATTGACACAAGAATATACGTCAACAAAAACGTATGAATTAACGTACCAAAATGTTCAAAATTAAAACAATAAACATTAACTACAACAAAACAACTTCATACGTATTCAGAATCCACACACAAAAAACTTTAAATTAAATTTAAACAATTCTTGAATTTCAATAAAATTCAACAGTCTTTCACTTTGGCAGATTATTTATTATAAAGGAGATTTCGCCATCGGACGATTGTAAAACGATGCTTTTATAATTGATCATAGTTGACATCGCGCACAACATGAAGTGACTGATAGATGATTTCGTTTATCATGTTATATATTTCAAGTCCATTATTACAATGTTTTAACATTGACAGACGGTTTTGTTTAAAACGAATCTACCAAGACGCTATGTTATGTCGAATAAACTAAACATACGAACGAACGTCCAATGGCTGACTAAACGCACTGCTGGCGCAGGTCGTCATGGTGCGCATGCTTGGAGCGGGGCAAACTGGCCTAATGGAAATAACGCCTAACCGTTGTTAGGTGAGAACGAAGAAATGTTGAAAATTTTTACTTTTTTTTACTTTTGTTGAAAGCGTATTTGTTGAAATTAGAATTATTCGTTGTTTTGTTATTATTATTTGTTGGAATCATAAATATATTAATTCATCCTCCTAAAGACATAAGTTGTGAACCATAAGACATAAGTTGTGAACCATAAGACATAAGTAGTGAATCTTGTAAGTTGAATAATAATTCAGAAATTGGTTGGAAGCTACCAAGAATAAAAAAATAGAACTAGGTTCATTTATGCTGGTAGAAGTTAAAAGATAAAACCAGTTAATGCAATTTTTTTGAGGTCAGCTTAATTTTTTTTCTTTATCTTTTGCTTACTCTATTATAATTATAATTTTCAATCCTTATCGGAATTTTACTATAAATTATATGTCATATTGAATTATTTATATCAACCTCAGCAATTACTTCTTACATAGGTTTAGGTGTAATATTATATAATGTAAATTATAAAAGTTTTAGAAAGAATATTGCAGTAATTTTGTAAAGTTGCTTTATTTTCAACTCATTTTACAAAATATTTGTTTAAAAAATTTATAATAAAAATTATCGTTGTTTGCTTAGCAATTGAATTGCAGCCTTATGCTCGGTGAGTATGTAAAAATGTTGAAAGTTGTTACTCTATAATTTGCAACTATTATCGAAAATTTATTATAATTTTGAAAAATGCCTACTATCATATTTCGTTCGCAATCAATTATTTTTATTAACATCAGCAATTACTTCTTACATGGTTTTAGGTGCAATGTTATATTCATATAACATAAATTATCAGAGATTAAGAAAAAATGTAGTTATGTTGTAATGTTATACCCTAGTTGCTATATTTTCAATTCATTTTACAAAATATTTGAATTACTGATTTATCATAACCATCATCTTTAATGAATTTAACAATTAAATGGATTTAACATTAGTCGCTGAATACGAAGAAATTTTAGAAGCAATTTTTTATTACAAAATATTATAGTACTTAGTTTTAGTTGGTAAACTTACAATTCATTTTACAAATCAGTTGCTTAAAAGATTTGTTATAAAATAATGATTATGGTCTTTAGTTTAACAATTATATTTATATCGGTTGTAGTTATAACCGATTGTCAGTGAATACAAAGAAATGCTAAAAGCATTTTGATTGCTAAATAATTTTTGGTCCATAATAATAATATTCAGCAAGTTTTTATATTATTGAGAAAATTACAATTACGTAGAATCAATTATTACTATCTTATAAATTCAACAAAAAATTCATATACATGTATACTATATAGTTTTAGGTGTAATATTTTATGGGAGTTTTTTAGATGTGATATTTAAAAAAAAGTAAGAAAATAATTGCTATTTTGTAACGTTATACCACAGTTGTTTAGAATTTCAATCACTTCACAAAATATTTGTCTGAAGTATGTACAGTAATTATTATGGTTTACAGTTTAAAAAATTGAAACTCAACTTGTTTCTTTGCATGAAATATTTTCAACAAGTAATTTTTGTAAAACTTCATTTTTATTTGATCAAAATATATCCTTTGTTTCTTCAATAAGTGTCAATGACAATGTTTTCTTTGTACATTTTATCAATAACTATAATCAAATAAAATCTTTTTATTTGTAATTTGGCAACCACAGCTTTCGTCTAGTAGAAAATTACATTTGGAAATTTGCCCAATCAGTTTTTTGGCTCACCGCATGTATTGATATTAATATTGTATTTCAAGTTTTGTCTCAAATTTATAATAGCATTATTATTTTCTAATCATAATTAGATTGATATATGCTGAAAAAATTATAATAACTCGTAGAACGTAGATACTTAGATAGTTAGTAAATCGTGGCGCAATATTTCAATATTGTGCCCATATTATCAATATTGCCCCCAATATTGTCTGGAGCTTGATTTCAGTGAGCTGGACAATATATTGAAAATACTGAAAAATGTGAGAAAGACATGGAAGAAGAAAAAATCAGTTTTTAATGGTATTAAAACAGAAAACATATTTTTGATCTGCTTTACGATTCTAACATTATATTTATACAAATTATACATAATTTGTTAAAGCGGACATAATAGTAGCATTTGTTGGACTGACCACGATTCATTTTTTTAAATATTATCAAACCTAGTTCATAAGTGGAAATTACGTGGTTCAAAAAAATTTTGAATGAT